TACCTGGGTTCTGATCCCCTATGCTAGACCACCTCTCTGCAGGACTACCCTCTTTGCTCAATGGACTTATGATTGCTCTTGTGCATAGCTAACCTCCTCACCCTGCTTTGGCTTTGAAACCCATGCCAAGCCACTTTGTGCACAGATGCCCTCCTTACCCCACTTGGATTCTGATACCCTGCCCTGGGCTACTGTGGCTTCCCTTGACCAGGAACAGATAGTGAAGTTACCTTGCTCTACGGTACCTGGTGGCTTTAAGACCAAACTGTTCAAGAATGGAATGAAAGAAGGAGGGGGGAGTGGGAGGAGAGGGGGAGAGTGAGAGGGAGAAGGAGAAATGGAAGCAGAAGAACCCACAAGTTACTTTTAATTTAATTGGAAACTATATGAGTTAGACCTCTTTGAGTCTAAGTAATAAAACAAAACAAAACAAACAGAAAACAAAAAACCAGCACAAAGTGGTTAAGCAAAAAATGACTTTAGTAGTTCATGTGGTGGAAAAGTCCAGGGGCTAGTTCAGGACACAACCTGATTTAGGTGTTCAAATAATGGTGTTAGGACCGGTATCTGCTTCTTTCTCTTTCTCTTTCAATCTGGGCCTGTTCTCTTCTATATGTTGGCTCCACTTTCACACACTCTTTCCCCTCATGGTGACCGGGTTCAATCTCACATCATAATGGTTTATTCAAGTCCAGTGAGAATAAGAAGGAACATGTCCTCTTCCTAATAATTCAAGTAAAAGAGTCTGGCATTAGTCTGGACTAAAACAGCTACTCTGACTAAGGGAATAGAATGTCCTGACTGGCTTAGATCTGATATGCATGCTCCACCTCTAGAAACCCAAGTGGAACCTCATTCAAGTATATAACCTGAAGTGGAAGTGGAGTAGTCTCTCCAAAGCAAAATTTAGGGTACAATTACCAGGAGAAAGATGAGTGGGTGCTAAAGAGCAAACAAACATCAACAAAAATCATATGATGACTAAAAGAGTCAATATTTGTTCATTGTCAAATAATTGACATAGAATGGATGCTATTATCTTTCAGGTGGAAGCCTCCTTGAGAAAGTGCAGATTTTGAACTTTAAAGAGGAAAGGTGCATACTCTGTGACTTAAAAATTTATAATAAATGTCAAATAAACTTACATATGTGCACTAGGAGACATGTACAGAAATGCTCATGGCACTGTTCATAAGAGCAAAATACTTGAGACAACTTACATGCCCAATGATAGGAGAATAAACAAATTGATGGTGGTATACTTACAGAATGACATTATATAGTGGTGAAACGAATGAGTAACAGCCACAGGAACAACATGGATGTATATGGTAGTATAATGCTGAATAAAAAAGCAAGTCCCAGAAAATCACATATAGTATCATGTCCTTTTTCTAAAGTATAGAGACAAAACTAAACCACATATTATTTAGAAGTACATCACACACACACACACACACACACACACACACACACACACAATAACACTACTGGGAAAACAAAAAGAAGGAAAAGATAAAGCAAAAGCAAAATTTCAGGATATTGGTGCAGGGTGTGGGGAGGCAGGGAGTGGAACAATCACAGGGGCATAGAGGAAGATGTGAGTTACTGGTAATGTTTAGGTTTGGTAGTAGATTATGATTGTACTATTAAAAAGTAAAAGATGTAGGTGCAGAAGTGTGCGAGGCATGGTCAAGGTTCATGAGTAGAATGGGAATACTGAAGCAAATAATTCCTACATGGTATTATGGACAAATATTATTGAAAATGGACTGGATCCAAATACACTTTGAACCAAGGTATTGCATTAATATAAGTTGTGTTTTTTATTTTTTTTAACTTTTTATTAAAACATTTTTTTCTTTAGCGATTTTAGAGAGAGAGGAAGGGAGAGGGAGAGAGAGATAGAAACATTGATGAGAGAGAACATCAGTTGGCTGCCTCCTATATGCCTCCCACTGGAGATCAGGCCCACAACCTGGGCATGTGCCCTGACTGGTAATCGAACAGGCAAACTCTTGGTGCATGCGTCAACGCTCAACCACTGAGTCACACTGGCCAGGCTACAAGTTGTGTGTGTGTGTGTGTGTTTTTCTATTTTATTTTATTATTATTTTTTTAATCTTTATTGTGGAATGTATTACAGCTGTTCCTCATTTTTCCCTCATTGACCCCCTCCGCCCCACTCCCGCCCCACTCCCGCCTTTTCTTACACTGTTGTCTCTGTCCATTGGTTATGCATATAAGTTCTTTGGTTTATTTCTTCCCACCCCCAACCCCTTTCCCTTTGAGGTTTGTCAGTCTAGCAATGAATTTGTACTTCTTAATCCCTTTACCTTTTTCACCCATTCCCCCAAACCCCCTCCCATCTGGCAACCAACAAAATGTTCTCTATATCTATGAGAATGTTTCTGTTCTTCCTGTTCATTTTGTTTGTAGATTTCATTGTCGATAGATATATATTCATTGCCATTTTGTTTGTTCATATATTTTATCTTTTTCTTCAAAAAGACCCTTCATTATTTCATATAATAATGGTTTGGTGGTGATGAACTCCTTTAACTTTTTCTTGTCTGGGAAACTCTTTATATGGCCATCGATTCTAAATGACAGCTTTGCAGGATAGAGTAATCTTGGTTGTAGGTTCTTGCTTTTCATCATTCTGAATATTTCTTGGCACTTGCTTCTGGCCTGCAAAGTTTCTTTTGAGAAATCAGCTGACAGTCTTATGGGAACTCCCTTGTAGGTAACTAACTGCTTTTCTCTTGCTGCTTTTAAGATTCTCTCTTTGTCTTGAACTTTTTGCATTTTGATGATGATATGTCTTGGTGTGGGCCTCTTAGGGTTTATCTTGTTTGGGACTCTCTGTGCTTCCTGGACTTGTATGTCTGTTTCCTTCACCAAGTTAGGGAAGTTTTCTGTCATTATTGTTTCAAACAGGTTTTCGATTTCTTGTTCTCTCTCTTCTCCTTCTGGCACCCCCAAGATGCAAATGTTGGCATGCTTGAAGTTATCCCAGAAGCTCCTTACACTATCCTCATTTTTTTGTATTCTGTTTTCTTTTTGCTGTTCTGATTGGGCGTTTTTTTTTTGTTGTTTTGTTTTGTTTTTTTGCTTCCTTATATTCCAAATCAATGGTTTGGTTCTTAGCTTTCCCTACTCTACTATTGAATCTGTGTAAATTATTCTTTATTTCAGTTAATGCCTCTTTGTTTCTGACTGTGCCTCTTTCATTTCTGACTGGTCCTTTTTTATGCTCTTGAGGCCCTCACTAAGTTCATTGAGCATCCTTATAAGCTGTATTTTGAACTCAGCATCTGTTAGGTTGCTTATCTCTAGGTTCGCTTAGTTCTTTTCTTGGTGTTTTGTTCTGTTCTTTCATTTGGGACCTGTTTCTTTGTCTCCTCATTTTGGCTGCCTCTCTATGTTTGTTACTGTGTATTACTTAACGAGAGGTATGGGGCTAGCTGAGACCAGATGCTGCTTGTTTGAAAGAATTTAGAAAAACCTGAAGCAGGATCCAAGACAGGCCAATCCTATGGTAAAGCAACTAGCAAGAGCTTGAGTGATCCTGAAAGTTGGGTGGGGCAGGGCCTCAGGGAATCACCAGGGCGGGGCTACCAGTGTGAGCCAGGTTGCTGGAGTCCCAGATATGGCGACTGTCTGCTGTCCCAGGGCAGGGCTCACCAAAGGAACAAAGGCCTCTGAGAGCACGTCTGTCCAGGAGAAAGCCCCCTCTCCAGCCCTTGCTCCAGTGCCAAACATCTCAGTTCTTCCCTGTATGTCTCTGGTGTCCCTCGAGCTGCATCCCCTCTAAGCTTAGAGGGAGTGAGTCTGATAAATCTGTGCGCGGGCCCTTTAAGAGGAGCTGCCTGGGGCTTCAGCCACTTCAGCCTCCCTGAGCCTCAGTTCCTGCTGGTTTTTCCAGCCAGAAGTTATGGGGACTTCTCTTCCTGTCACTGGAACCCTGAGTGGGGCATCTGGTGTGGGACAGGGACCCCTCAGTCCTCAGGAAGGGCCTTCCCAGCCGAGGTGTCCTCCTGATTTTTATCCACCACACGTGGGTGTGGGACCAGCCCATCCACCTCCGCCCCCCCTACCAATCTCAATGCGGCTGCTGCTTTAATTTCGTAGTTGTACGACTTCCATTCAGCTCGATTTCAGGAGGTTTTGAATGATGGTTGTTCTGTAGTTTAGTTGTAACTTTGATGTAATTGTGGGAGGAGGCAATACCACGTTTACCTATGCCACCATCTTGACCAGAAGTCTCTATAAGTTGTGTTTTAATTTAATTTTATAAATAGGTATTGAGCCTTATAATTGGTAATTCAATTATAAAGTGATTAATACTGATTTGGGATTATGGAAGTAGAAGTGGAGAGGAATGTCCACAAGATACATTGTCAAAAGCTAATAGGATAGAAAATGATCTACTGGAAATGAAAGGTAAAAGGTAGGGAGGAATCGAAGTTGACCCTGGAATTTCACCTAAGTAGTAGAATTAAAAAAAAAACACACACACCACCACACAGCCCTGGCTGATTTGGCTAAGTGGTTAGAGCGTTGGCCCGCGGACCAGAGAGTCCTGGGTTCGGTTCCCGCCAGGGCATGTGTCTCAGTTGCAATTTGTCCCCAGCCCCAGTTGGGGCCATGTGGGTGGCAACCACTCAATGTGTCTCTCTCACATAGATGTTTCTCCCTCTCTCCCTCCCGCTTTATCCAAAGATGAATGCAAAAATGTCCTTGGGTAAGGATAAAAAAACAAAAGTACAAAAAACAACACCACACACACAGAGAAAATGACATAGGAGTCATCTTGAATTTAGAAAAGAAAGTCACTGTAAGATGTTCTGTTGGGCTTAGATGCCTTTGATATACCTGGTTTTCCATAAGGGGCAGTTGTCAGAGACTTAAGTTTACTGTAAAAGGAGAATGAAAATTTCCTCCACAGATAAATGAGATTTTGGTTAGTTCTTGGTTTTGTGTTTTATGTCTTTTAGCCAAACTACACACCCAATTTCCAAAGCCACACCCTGGTCATGAAGTGAGGTTATCTTCAAAACAGTTTCGGAAATACATAGAATTGGTTGTTTCTGAACTCACGGGCAATGAAGATCATGTTCTGGAAAGCCTTGTGGAGTTTCTGATGACTACTTTAAACAGGAGCCATATTGAGGCCCTGAGGAATAGTGCCAGACGGAAGTGGCTGCACCAAATTCAACGTGCTGCAGAGACCAGTGGGGTATCCATTGAACCAGTGTACACTGAGACCTTTAAGGCCCTCACACAGGTATATTTTCTAAAATGATATATAAGAAGAAAAATTTCCTCACAGTAGATGATGTTCAATGGTTGCAAAGGAGGAGCACACCAAATTCGCTTAATACTTGCTATAGATTTTTTTCTTTTTAATACATTACAATGACCCAAATCCTAGGGAAGATGCAACTGGAATGATTGCAGGTTGGCAAGGTAGAAGCAGAGAGGAAAGGTATAAAAGACAGAATTATGTCTTGGGATTTCTAATTTCATTTGTGCTGAGATTCAAATAAACCTAGAACAGAAAATAGACCGATATCGAAAAATACCAGTAGGGAGATTGTGCAAGCAGGTCAGACTACATTTCTCTTGCATGTTGTTTTGGGGATCAGTTCATAAAAGAACTATTTAAATCATAAAGTTATTATAAAGTAGACTCTAAGATCACATAATTTTTTATAGTCCTGCCTAGAAACAAGCTGAAACTATTATAGAATTCTGTCACCTAAAACATATGACCCTGATGGACCACTGTCCACCCCCTGCTTAAAGACTCCCAGCTTGCTGCTCCTCCCAGGCAGAAATAGTGTGATTATCTTCTACATATATCACAGATTCCTTTGATCTAGGGAACTTGTGTCATTCAGCTCAGCTAAATAGCAACACTTGATTATTGTAATAATCTTCTGAATGGCTGAAGTTTCCAATGTAGTTTGAAATGATGTGACTAGGAATAGGAGACCAATCAAGAAAAAGAGTTATTACTCTAACTTGCTTCAGAGATCTGCAGTACCCCAAGAGAAATCTCACTTACATTTTTGTTACTCTATAGACCTTTTATGTAGAAAAGGAGAAATAAAGGCAGGAAAAAAAGGCATGAAAAACAAACCCAAATATATAGAAAGAGGAGACAAATATCAAGGAATGTGTCTCTCGTGTCCCCCAATTTATGGACATGTTCAATATGTGTTAACACATAATATACTTAGTAACATAATAATATTATAGGTACAGAGAATTTTCAGTTATTTCAATTAGAAATATTAGTTTCAAAGCCTGAAATCTGGGACCCCAAAAAATCATTTTCTAAAATGACATAAATCAAATGTCATAGCCAAACTATTTTAAGAATTCCTTGAGAGCATTTTTCCACATTCACAGCATAATAGATTAAGGTTAAAAAATATGTGTGAAAGGAAGCCATTTTCTTGCCCCAGCTCTCTAAAATAAATACTTTTAACTGAAGCCCATACAATGTGACTATAGTTCAAAGGAATCCAAGTTTTATATATATATATTTGAGAAAGAGAGAGAGACATCAGTTTTGTTGTTCCACTTATTTATTCATTGGTTGATTCTTGCATGTGCCCTGACCAGGGTTTAGACCCACAACCTTGGCATATCTAACCAACTGAGCTACCTGGCCAGGGCCAAGGAATCTAAGTTTTAAACCTTTAAATTTGAATAGACTTTAAGAGATTTTTAAAAATTTTTTTTAAGTAAACCAATCTAATTGGCACAAAGTAAATCCATTCCACTCACTAAAGCTGAGGTTTGGGGGACATCTGTGGTGTTAGCATTTTCCTCACTGCCCATGAATGGTAATGTCTTCATTATTTATTCATAAAAATGAAATTATTGGGGTCAGAGGCACAAACTGGCTAATGAAGGGGAAGATGTGATTAACAGAATAGCTCTTGGCAAATACATGACCAGAAACATTTTGCCATAGGATGCTCAAGTCCATGGAAATAAGAAGATCAGTGCTCACATTTCCCTCTTAGAAGAAAACCTACTACTGCCTGATAGAGGGAGTGTTCTGTTAAGGAACGTAGCTTGTACTTTAGATGATGCTCCATTTGTACTGAACAAAGTGCTCTATAGGGACATGAAGGGAATCAGGTAAGAATTTCTTGAAAAGTTTGTTTTCACCCTTCTAAAAACAAATAATTCCCTTTCTGAAGTAAGTTAGCATTGAAATCCTAGTTGACTGCCCAAGAGAGAAAGGCCTCCAGTCACCATCGCTCCTAGAGTGGGATGTGATGGGTTTCTAGTCTCAGATTATCTCACTGGATCATTTCTAGATCTTACTTTAGGCATTGATTTGTCATGTAGGGACTCTGCTTTACAATATTCGCTCAATTATTCTGCCTGCTCTTTAAAGTATGTCTCCTGCCCTGGCCAGTTTGGCTCAGCAGTTAGGAGTGTCAGCCTGCGGTCTAGAGACACCCAGGTTCGGTTCCCTCTAAGGGCACGTACTTAGGTTGTAGTTTGTCCCTGGCCCCAGTTGGGGTCGTGCAGGAGGCAGCCACTCGATGTGTCCCTTTCACATTGATGTTTCTCTCTCTCTCTCCCTCTCTCTTCCTTGGGTGAGGATTAAAAAATAAATAAAAATAATAAAAATAAATAAAGTATGTCTCCTGCATCCTGTTTATATATGTTTGCTGTGTTATGATCTAAACTTATTTTTGAAATCTTTCTTTCAAGTCAGACTCTCCAAATTGGTAATTTTATGAGTCCACTTCTCTGACATGTAATGTCAATGATTATGAATGGAGAATTGATCTAGTTTCCTGCATGGTTTAATCTAAAGCCTCTCCTTTGTCTTTCTCTCATCCTCATATTCCTAAGCTTTACAGTAGTAGATGGAGGGAAGCCAATACACGTCCCCCAAGTTCAGCACCATGGGAACATTTTCTTCTGGAACCATTCCCGCAAGAAGACTGATCAAAATGGGTCATTCCTGGCTCTGCCTCTTCAGGATGCATATATGAGGATCTTTGGGGTCTTGGCTGTTGATACCCTAAGAGATCCCCAGAAAATAAACATCTTCTTGCTTCATGAGATCAGATTCTATCAGGTAAGTCAGAGAAGAATTATTCAATAGCAATGGTAGGATGGCCTCTCCTTCTATACTTTTTAAAAAGCAAAACCTAAAACTAGATGAGCGTAGAGCTATGTATATAGATAGCATCGTCATACTGATTCATTTCCTGTGTGTGTCAGTCTTTGGAGAGGTTCCTATTTATGCATGGAAGAACACTCAGCCTCATTTGCACATCTATGCCTCAGACTCTCTGGGAAGATTATTAATGTGTCCCATTGCATTAGTCATAGAAACAGAATTTTATGCTGTAGAACCAAAATCCAACTATTAGATCTCTAATACCCACATAGTCGAGATGAACTTCTCAAAAGAACATATTTATGTTTTAATAATGATACCTAGAAATCCTTGCTCTTTCCACAAATGGTGCTGAATATGATATGCATTCCCATAGCTCTTGATATTAGTGTTATAATTTTTGAGGATGAATAATGAAGGAAATAGCTTAAGTTTGGGGCACTTTTAAGACTATAAAATAACTGTGTAATTTCTACAAGCATTTAAATTCAACTTTATACATAGAAATTACAATGACGAAAGATTGAAAGCCTTTATGGGAGCAATGGACTGGGATGTAGCAGCAATCATGAACTTGCTATGCCCTTATCATTTGTTCTGTAAGCCCCTGGCTCTTTATGTTTATCTACCATTGTTTTTAAATTTCTCTTCCCACTTACTGGATGAATAACTGGAAAGTGGTAGAATCTTTTTCTTTGGACATCTTTTTAATAATAAAATTCATTCTCATCTGACATAATGATGTGAAGATATTAAGAAGCAAAATGGAGGAGTATGGAGTTATCAGTAGGTGAACTATACATATCCTTGTTAGAGAACATGTCAAAATAAATTATAAATATATTTTCTAGTCCTTGGAGGTAAAGGCTCCTGTATTACCCTTAGATGCCTCATGTCCTAATATGAAATACATATATATATATATATATATATCTTTTTTTTATCCTCACCCGAGGATATTTTTCCATTTTTTGTACAGATAGAGTGGGAGGGAGAGAGAGGAAGGGAGAGAGAGTGAGAAACATCGACGTGAAGGGACACATCGAGTGGCTGCCACCCGCACGACCAACCAGGGCCGGGGACAAACTGCAACCGAAGTACATGCCCTTAGCGGGAACCGAACCCGGGTCTCTCTGGACTGCAGGCCGACACTATAACCACTGAGCCAAACTGGCCAGGGAGAAATACATATATTTTTGAAGAATTTGTGGTTCTTAAAGTTTCTTGACAACAAGACCACAATGAGTTCTAAGGACTTCCCATTGCTTCTCTATGGAACAGGATTATTTTGTGCCCATAAGAAGAATGTGTAATCTTGCACATTGCAGGCTTTAGAACTCAGCACATCCTGTTCTCCTGATCTCATGACAGTAGCCATGTAAAAATGCAGACATTAATGTTGCTTCAGATCAGGGCAGCTCCTACCCATCTGCCCAAGGCTGGCATTGGTTCTTGGCTTTTAAGCATTATCTCTCACTTCAAAGTTTATTTTGTTCTTCTCACACTATTTTCTGATTGCATATATCACAGATTTCATTGGATGACTATCGGGAAACATAGTAAGTTCTGTGGATCTTATGATAGATCTCTTCTCACACCTTTGATTTCTTGATTTTTTTTTTCATAGTAGAAGCTGGAACATTGCTTTTTGAGAACTGATGAATAATTTATAGAAAGTAGATTATCATTAATAAAAAAGATCATCTAATTGATGCATTACTAATTATTTTGCTATTTTAAAAAGAAAAGGCAATTAAGATGGTCTGTCTCTACAGGGTGTTGCCAATGTCTTTAGCACTGCCTTTCACTACGTCCACAGCCGGGAGCACATCCTGCATGTTGTGATCACTGGCATCAGATGGCTCTACAACCTCATACCAGGCATTACCAGCATCACTACGTACTTTGTTGAGCCTAGCCCAGAGCAGGTAGGCAAGGCTGGGCAGTGTTAGACCTTCCCAGGATAACAGAATTTCTAGATGTTATTGTTTTGCTGATATTTTAAAACCATTTTACTTAGCTATTAGGCTAACTGAAGACATATTTCCCATGATCTCAACTTAAGGTTATGAGTGGCAAGAATCCATCTCAAACTGCCTTAGGCAAAAAGGGAAATTGACTCATTAGCCAAAATGAAGAAAGGGCAGGTGTCAAGCTGGCTTCCAGGATGACCAGATCCAGTGGTTCGATGTCATTAGGGCCCTGTCATGTTCTTTCTCTCCCCAGTTCTTATGGTTGCTTCCCTCTGCACTTTGGCTTTGTACTTCCAGCTAAAGATGGGCTTTCTCCACAGGGTGAGCCAGATGCTTCGTAGCTAGAAAATAATCTTTCCTTTCTGTTCAAAACCCAAGAAAAAAAAAACTCATTTTGATCTATCTTGAGATATGCTCCCCTGGCCAGTATAGGAAGTTTACAGTAACTGGTAGCCCCCACCAGAATCACATGGGTGAAGTGGGAAGGGCTAAGACATAGCTGTTTTGGAAGGACACAATTACATCACACCAATTTTTTTAAAAGATCCTCTATCTATTATGTGACGAGTTTTTGGTAGTTGTGGGTGCTGCTTCTGGGGTGGGGCAGGGATGAGAGTCCCCAGTTACCCTTGGAACTAGGGTGGACCACTCTTTTGCAGCCCCTCCAGATCTACTCTTCTCTCTTCTCCAGATTGCTCTGTGTCTCAAAAAGTAGACAGTATCAGTGGTCTCTTAAAAGCAGAGAATTTTTTCTGGCTATGGTCCCTGAAAGATTAAAGGATGGGAGATGACAATGTGAGAAAAATTTGACACCCCATTGCTGATTCTGAGATCTCTAGGGCTATGTACAAAGACCCAAATCTCTAAAAGCCAAGGGTAGTCCCCAGCTGACAGCCAGCAAGGAAACCAAGACCTCTTAGAATTTTGTTTCCCTGAGATTTTGAGGGGCAAAATCCCTCTTGCACCTGTTTTGCTATCTTAAGTCATATCAAAGTAGGCTTTTGAAAAAAACAAAAGCCAGAGATTAGCCAGTGCTTTCTGCTTTTCACTTCATCACATTTTTCTTCTAAAGCAATACAGACTCTCAGCTTAAATGGGTGGGAAGAAGGAGGGGGAGAGACTATCAGGAGGAGGAAAAATACCTTATCACAATTAATGTTTCACATCCCATCATACATAATATAAAATAATTTTTTTCTACCTCAGGGGCTTCAAAAATGCTCTCATTTTGTCTGGAACATTCTCCCCACTTTGCCCTCATCCTTACATCCTGCATAAAGCAAACTACTAACTTTACTAAGGGATATAAAATTGTTTTATAAAGTAGAAAGGAATATCATTTTTTTCACAAAAAGACCTTTTTTTTTTTTTTTATCCTCACCCGAGGATATTTTTTCCATTTTTTGTTCAGATAGAGTGGGAGGGAGAGAGAGGAAGGAGAGAGAGAGACATCGACGTGAAGGGACACATCGAGTGGCTGCCACCCGCACGACCAACCAGGGCCAGGGACAAACTGCAACCGAAGTACGTGCCCTTAGCGGGAACCGAACCCGGGTCTCTCCGGACCGCAGGCTGACGCTCTAACCGCTGAGCCAAACTGGCCAGGGCAAAAAGACCATTTTTTTAAAAATATAACTTCTTCCAAAAATTATTTATAAATTTAACATTTCAAGAAAAATCCCAAAATGATTTTTAATTGACCAAATGATTTTAATCTTTATCTGGAGGAAAAATAAATACATGAGAATAGCTATAAAAAATGAGGGATGATGGGGTCTTCGCAATCTTGGTCTCAGGAAAGAATGGCTAAACCTACATGAAAGATTAAAACTATTAAGGCGAGGTTGATACATTGACTACATAAAAAGACAAAACTTTCTTGCACCAAAGTTATAGGAAATATAAATTTGCCTTTCCTAAAGTTTAGTGTATTTTACAGAATATGTTAAAATTACAAACTAGTCTCTACCAAAAAAAGAGAAGTTGATCAAGACTCATGAGTCCAAGCTCATCAAGCTATAGACATTAAATATGCACATTTTTGTATACCAAATATACCTCAATGAAGCTGTTAAAAAGGCATTAAAATATTCTCATAACCCATGTGTAGATTGTGACCTATAGTCTGAAAACCTCTTAGAGGTGAGGGAGACAAGAGAAAGCAAGGAGAATGAGAGAAATGCTCTGTGAGGCAGGAGGAGAACCAAGAGAGAGTAGTGTCCCAAAAGCCAAGTGAAGAAAGTGTATCAAGAAGGGAATTGTTCATTGCATCAAATACTACCAAAGGTAGAGGAAGATGAGGATTAGGGATCTGCCAGTGAGAGAGTCAATAGTAACCTTGACAACAGCAGTTTTGGTAAAGTGGTGAAGACAAGACCTCACTGGAGAATATTTTTTATTGTACTTATTTTGGGGTAGGGCACTTTTCTGTATTTTCCAGATGTTCTACAATGCACTTGTAACATCAGAAAAATAATATAAACACAGCATTTTATCACAATTATTTTTATTTATTTATTTTTTTATTGATTTTAGAGAAAGAGAGAGAGAAACATCAGTGAGAGAGAACATTGATCAGCCACCTCCTGCATGCCCCCACTGAGGATTTGGCCCACAACCTGGACATGTGCCTTGACCAGGAATCAAACTGACAACTTCTTGGTGCATGGGTTGACGCTCAACCAATGAGTCACACCGGCTGGACACGATTTTTTTTTTAAATACGTTTTTGCTTTGGCCAGTCTGGCTCAGTTGGTTGAGCATTGTCCCGTACACCAAGAGGTCACTGGGTTTGATTCCCAGTCAGGGCACATGCCTGGGTTGAAGGCTTGATTCCACCAGTAGGAGGTGTGCGGGAGGCAGCCAATCAATATTACCCTCTCATACTGATATCTCCCTCTCACTCTAAAATCAATAATAAAAAACATATTTTAAAAAATATGTTTTTGCGCCCTGGCCGGTTTGGCTCAGCGGTTAGAGCGTCGGCCTGTGGTCCTGAGAGACCCGGGTTCGGTTCCCGCTAAGGGCGCGTACCTCATTTGCAGTTTGTTCCCGGCCCTGGTTGGTTGTGCTGGTGGCAGCCACTTGATGTGTTCCTTTCACATCGATGTTTCTCTCTCTCTCTCTGTTCCTCTCTCCCCCTCCCACTCTACCTGAACAAAAAATGGAAAAATGTCCTCGGGTGAGGATAAAAAAAAAATATATATCTGTTTTTGCATTTAAACAAATTTTATATTTTGAAATTTTTCTCTTGTGGAGCACCTCATTCCTTAATGGGACTGAATAAGTAAAATGTTACTGTACTTAATGCTAGAAATCATCTAAACTTTTCTAATTTTTTTGTATTTATCTGTCCCCCAAAGTTTTAATGAGAATATAAGGTCTAATTATTCTTCTTCATAATGAAATCTCTTCCTCTTTTCAAGGATTCAGACTACGTTTTACGCAATATGATGGTCACAGGGTCCCTGGGTCTAACAGAAATCCACAAAAATCCCCCTACCATCTTCAGGAAGACGTGCATCTTCAGGTATGAGAGGCATCTTCATGCCTGTTTTGTTTGATTGCCAGAGCACACACCCTGGTGTGATAGATCTGAAGACACTGCTTTTGCCTCTCATTAGTATACATTGACTCTCATTCTGACTGAGTTTTAGAGAAAATCTCCTGACTGCGTGGGTCATATTAACTCCTCTCCTCCACAAGTCATTTTTAAAGCAAATTTCATTGGTGTTTTATATTAAATTTGCATGTTTTTAAGCATAATAGTGTTTTATTTTCTATGATCTTCTTGTAAACAAGGAATTCAACAAATCCACCATGATTATGACAAATACGTCCACACCATTTATCAAAACTCCTCATCTTTTTTTTGTTATAATATGCTTTTGTTGACTCTTTAGAGAGGAAGGGAGAGATAGAAACATCGATTGGCTGCCTCCTGCATGCCCCCTACTGGGGATCAAGCCCGAAACCTGGGCATGTGCCCTGACCAGGAATCAAAACAGGAACCTCACAGTCCATGGGACAACGTTCAATCCACTGAGCCACCGGCTGGGCAAAACTCCTCATCTTAATTTTAGCTAGCTTGTGAACAAGTATATTTTATGTAAAGAAGACAGGCTGGGCAAAGTGGAGAAGAGTCAGAGACTGCTGTCTTCAGTAAGTACCCAGTTCTAGGTTCCTTCAAATGCCTCTCATGTGTGGAATACATGGAACACTATTAAACTGTGGACAAATGTAAAACATCTTAAGCGAGAACATACCTATCACAAAAGGGGCCAACTCCTTCTTAGGGAGGGTCAGTTTAGCTGAGTAGCCATTAACCTATATCAGACCGAGGGCTAAATTGATCTTTAAGTACTTACTTAATTACATTTTAGTTTAGCCTCATACCAGAATGTTCATTCAGTTTTAAGCAATTTTCCAAATAATTATTCCTTGAGGTGTTCAAGAGTTTTATAGGAATCCTTGTAACATCCACTCATAACCATTCCTGGAGTAACTTAGAGCAGGTGCTTTTTGAGGAGCTCTGTTGGCCAATCAGCTTTATCCTTATGCCTGGGAAGTTTAGCACGATGCTTCATTACTGTGGTTATAAAGACACAAAGTAGTGGAAGTAGCAAAAGAAAGACATAATCTTAACTGTCATTATAGGATTGATATTATGAACTATAAATATGCTGTATGCGGCAATGCAAAACACCAACATTTTTACAAATACCTCAAAGAAATGGCATCTGAATATTAATGTAGATGGGGGAAGAGGAAAAGAGATAAAAAGGGATGTGTCTATGCCTCACTAGAGAAAGAAGCAGCTATGGTGTTTCTATGAAAACCTCAGGTCCCTCTGAAGCAGATGCTGTTGATGCCCAGCCCAGATCTCCCATGTATCTTTGGCAGCTGCTGCAGGTACTGCTGCTAATGCCCCACACTGCAGCTTTCTCTGGAGGAGTGCCTTGAGAGATGGGGGCCTCTCACCAAGAGGTGCCTAGAGTTACATAAACACCCTCCCCTCGACCAGGGGCACTTAGAACCAATGACTGACAAAAGACCTCCTTCTTGCATCAAGGTGGGGCAGATTTGGACACAGTTTGCCTCCCAGAGCTCCCCTTGGAATCAGGCTGAGGTTAGACTTTACCTGAAATCACATTGTTATGTAACTCCCCACCCCCCACCTTCTGCTTTCCCAGAACCTCACAGGTTTCTCCTGAGAGCACTCCCTCAACAAATCATTTACCTGTCTCAGGCTCTGCTTCTAGATAGCTTAACACACTCATAGTTCCATCAGGCATTCCACCAATACTCACTGGCAACATGTAAACAGACAAATGAGAAAATGAATACCTTTCAGATAAGTGCAGTAAAGACAATAAAGCAGAGTAACATGATGGCGCATGACTCAGGTGCTGCTACTTTAGTGAGGGGAGGCTTCTCTAAGAAGAGATGAGTGACTGACTGACTGACTGAGAGAGCTCTGTGAAATCAAGGGGTGAGGTGGTCCAGGCAGGTAAAACAGCAACAAAAGCTGGTGGGTTGGAGCTTAGGCACAAAAGAGAGTTATTCAGTATGTTTGAGTGGAGTGTTGTGAACAGGCTGATGTTTTATACCCTATGCTTATTTGGTTTTGGTTTCAGAGATTTCCTCTTTAAGTGTACAGACAGCTCAGAAGTTATCGTGGCCTCCGTCTATGGAGAAAACCACATCGTAATTCCACTTCGTGAGAGAACAGGAGAGGCTTTGGGAGCTCTTGATTTTAACATTGGAAGAAGCAAGATGTTGTTTTATCGAGAATTTAAAGATCTACAGAAAATGATGAAAGTGACCCAAGCTGCTTGCTATGAAATACTGGGCGAACTATCTGGAGAAATAGAGAAAAAGCGTGTCTTAGGTATTGTGAATGTGGTGACAGTCTGGATTTATGGGTTTAATAAGTTTTGGGAAAATCACAGACAATGCAATGAAGGATGTTTTCTAAAATGAGTTGTTGCAATATACAGATTTCCCCATGAAAGAAATTCCCTCATGCAGTCTTGGACTGAAGAGTATAGTTTATAAATAAGAGTAAAGGGTAAGGAATCACATTTTTTTCTTGGCTAGAATCACATGGTTTTTGAATTAGAAGGACTCCTAAAGGCAATATAGAATTAGCATTTATTAAATGCCCCATCATATACCAAGCACTTTAAATATATTATTTCAATTAGTCCTTACCATAACTCTATGAGGTAAATGGTGATGCCTCATTTTATAGGTGTGAAAAGCAAAATTTAGAGAAACGAAACAACTTGCACCAAACTACACAGTTAACAAGTGGTAGAGGCTGGGTTCGCACTCAAGTTCGGGTACTCGTTCCACTCTATTACATAACATTAAGTCATCAGAACATCTCATTTTACAGATGAAGAATCTAAAACCTATCAAAGTAAAGGTCCAATAGCAAGCTAGAGACAGAGCCAAAACCAGACCTTGTGATTTCACACCCATTAGGCTGCTCTTAGCACAAGACTAGTTTGGGCAGAAGGGAGGGAAGAAGGAAGCATGGAAACCTCTGGCTACCTAGAAGGGAGTGAATGGAATTAGAAAAGTAACACATGTATGATTAAGCTGAATGTTTTCTAGCCATTACATATGGCGGGGTGAAATAAGAAGAAAAAATAAAGAAAATTCATGTCTTTTGAGTGTTCACTGTGTATAAGGCCAAGACTAAGCACTTTTTCATACATCATCTCATTTAATGTCCATAGCTCATCAGGAAAATAGGAATCAGCCCCATTCTCACAGACAAGGAAGGAAAGGTTTAGAGAGACAACAGAACTAATAACAGGAGAGTAGGTATTCAAACTAAGGTCTAATTCCAAAACACGAGTTTTCACATTTCCTCAGAGCATCCTCCTGTGAGTTTCACCAGGTGTAATTTCATTTCTGCCTTTTGATTTTGTGACTAGAGAAACTAAAATTGTTTAAAACCATAAGATATGGGCTTTTTTCTGGAAAAAAAAAAACTCACAAAAACCATTTACTATAGTATACTCAGAATCCTATGAAAAAGTAATTTATATATTGAACAACCATGTGGGATGTCATTCTGTTATTCCAGAGATTGAAAATGCGGGAGAAGTCCAGCGGGCAGGAGTTCTCTTCTTCCGAATCATGCTGCAAGAGCTGCAGGAAAGCCTCCGGATGCTTACCTCCATGAACTTTGTATCACTGTTGCTCTACGATTATGATCCTGTACCACAGTCAGAATCTCCATCAGATAGCCAGTCCCTGGAGTTTGGAGACAATGTAAAACTAATACATGACATCCTGATGGGGGTTATCTTGTTCATTCATCCAGAGTTGGAATTATCAAGTGATTTAGAAAATTGGGATAAAAGTAAACTGGTAAGTTTTTTTAAGTACTCTTTTTATTAAAGAATAACCCACACAAATTTAGGTATACAAATCATAATTGCACAAGTTGTAAGTGTACAAAGGCAAGGAGTTTTACACAATGAACATTTGTAACCAGCACCTAGATCAAGAAGTGGATCCTTAGCGGCATCCCAAAAGCCCTCCTTGGTACCCTCTTCCATCACCCTCTCATACACACATTCACCCCTAGGGTGACCAGAAGCCTGTCTTCTAACACCACAGATTTGTTTTGACTGTTTTCAAATTTATATAAATTAAATTTTGTAAACTGGTGAATTGGGTACTCTAGTTTTACTCACTGGTGATCCTATAACTTTTGTTCTTTGTTCACAGTACATTAACAGATACTTAGTTGAGGATATTTGTGCCTTTGATCCAACTGCTAAGCATATGAACATTAATTTAAAGCTCATTGGTGAATATATCAGAGGTAAATTTTCACTTAATTATGGTCTAAATCATACTAACAACAATAAAACACAGTTGCAAAAGATACTGGAATTAAGCAAGTAGCGCACAAATTCAATTTTTAGGAAAAATAGTTCTGTTTATAGTCTTCTAAAAGGAGGAACACTCTGTAATCTACTGCATTACCCAAAGTGACTGCCTCTGCCACACATATAAGAATTCAGAAGCATGTCTGTCTCCCACTCACTGCATGGGCATTCTTTATTAAAAAACAAAAGTGAGCCCTGGTCGGTTTGGCTCCGTGGTTAGAGCATTGGCCAGAGGACCAGTGAGTTGCGGGTTCGATTCTGGTCAGGGCCACATACCTCAGTTGCGGTTCATCCCTGGCCCTGGTCGGGTTGTGTGAGAGGCAGCCAGTCAATATGTCTCTCTCACATTGATGTTTCTCTCTCTCCCTACCTCTCACTCCATCTGCTGATAAATGGAAGAATATCCTTAGGTGAGGAATAAAAAACAAAAACAAAATGAAAAAAAAAAAACAAAAGTGAATAGGGGCTGCAGTGAGGAGAGAAAACAAGTATATTTAACCAAAAGGCTATTATTATCTTTAGTTTCAATGAAGAACTGAAGAGAATAATTGATCATGAGTCTTGATAGATTTGTATTGCAGACTTTTTGGAAGAGGAGAATCAGCAGGAATGGAGAGCAGTGAGACTCCCAGGTTGGAGAAGGTGATGAGCCTTTGGCCACAGGGAATTGGCCACATATGAGAGTAAATATACAGGGGTAGGCAAAAGTAGGTTTACAGTTCATGTGGACAATGCAATACTTAATAAATAATAATACAAGAATAAACTCTGTTTCATGTATTCACAACTATAAATTTGCTTTTGTACCACCCTGCACTTATACAAGTAGACACATTCCTCCATGGGTGCCTGTTACCCTAACAGAGACCTGAAGTAGAACAGTAAGGGATATATTTAAAGTTTGTTCCTTTTTATTACTCAGAAAAAACTAATCATCAGTTGGGAACATGGCTCTGTAAAAATTGCTCACTAAACCTGTTCCTATCCTCCTCCTTCCCCTTACCTGCTTTCTGTGGAAATTCTAGATCAAGTCAGAAGGGTTTCTGGACTTCTGTGATACCTCTATTAAGCTGAGAGGCTCAAAACCAGGGAGACACCTAGGGCAAGAGGAAGAAAAGGCAACCCTGAGGAAGACAATCACACTTCTCAAGGTGTCTGTGGCAGTGGACACATGTGGTACAGGGGAAGCACATAGCAATGAGCCAACGTGGATGGATGAGATAGAGGTCTTCTGGCCTAGGAAGATGATCTACTCCCAGAAGTTTGGTAGTGCTAGAGAATAAGAGAACACAAGATTCAAATAAAAGTTACCACGAATTAATGGGGACTATGAGTGATGTGAGTAAAGATTAGCATTCTTATTTGGAATGGCTTCTACTACAGCCTCATGGCTCTGGGCTGATTCACTGGAGCCTCTGGATGCATAGGTGTTAACAGGTCTCACTTATTCTAAGGAAGTGATTCGATGGAAACAACAATAGCAACAACAAAATGAATACTTTTTATTGTATACTTACCTAAAGAAGGTCTATATTTGTTCACTAGGGACTTAAAAATCCCGAAGAAATGTTTTCTATGTCAGTGCCTCATTGTTACTCTTTCCTTTGGAGTAGATTTACTCCCCATCATGAGCTCCAGTATCCTCTGTCCTCCATGTGTAACCAGTTTGTCAATTGACATTCTCCTTGAGCCCTTTACTTTGGTCCCCACCCAACCTGCCAACCTCTTGGCCTAGATCTAAACCCTGTTGCCAGGGTCACTTGTGTCCTCTCAGACTGATGTTCCCCTTCTTGGGTGAGGACTCAGGCTCCCACCACTGTCCCATCCACTCCCTCTGTCAGGTGGGATCTGGGGATGAGGAACAGGCCCTTCCACTCTCTACCTTGCAGGCATATTCAGGAATTGACTCCCAGCCCTTAATAAGTCGACCCAAGACAAAGGCATCTTCTGTGGAATTGTACCAATGTTTCAAGGGAATCTTTTCATGAGATGCTAACAATGATATCTGTAGATTCTGCTCAGGATGGGGAGGGACTGTTAGCATAGCTCCTAACCCACCAAACCTTCCAAACTAATGATTTTGCCAAGAAGATAGAATTAGGGCTGATGATGTACCCAAACTTTCTTGGGGCTTCTGCTGCCAACTCTTACCTCACTTCATCCTAGTTCTAGAAAGGAGTATTTTTTTTAATGTTCCAAAAAGGTGCACTTTATTTTTTATTAAGATAGTGATATATAACATTCTATTAGTTTAAGATATAAATATGATTTCATACATGTATATATTGTGAAATGATCACCATAATAGGTTTATTTCACATCTATCACCATATATAGTTACAATTTTTTCTTGTGATGAGAACTTTTAAGATCTACTGTCATTTTAGCAACTTTGATACGCAATACAGTATTGCTAACTGTAGTCACAAGGCTGTACATTACACACCCATAATTTATTTGTTACAACTAGAAGTTTGTACCTTTTGACCACCTTCACCCATTTCCCCTGCCCTCCCCCAAACCCCTGCCTCTGGAGACTACCAATCTGTTCTCTGTTTTTATGAATTCATTTTTTTTAAAAGATTCCACATATAAGTGAAATCATATAGTAAATCTTTCTCTGCCTGAGTTATTTCATTTAGCATAATGCCCTCAAGATCCATCCATGTTGTAGCAAATGGCAGGATTTTCTTCTTTATGAATGAATAATATTCCATTGTATACCACATTTTCTTTTTTCCTTTCTTTAAAGGGGAAGGTGGTGGTCAACAGGTGAATCCTACTTTGTAAGGTAGACTTGGCAATTAGGAGTATTTTAATTATTATTTTTAAAAATATGTTTTCATTTATTTGAGAGAGAGAAGAAGGGAAAGGGAGAGAGAGAAACATCGAATTATTGCCTCCTACATGCCCCACCACCAGGGATCAAGCCCGAAACCCTGGCATGTGCACTGACGGGAATCAAACCAACAACCTCTTGGTGCATGGGACAATGCTCAACCAATTGAGCCACACCAGCCAAGACTATACCACATTTTCTTTTTCTATCCATCTGTTGGTAGACGCTTAGGTTGTTTACATGTCTTCACTATTATAATGCTGCAATGAACAAGGGGGTGCAGTTTATCTCTTCAAGATAGTGATTTCATTTCCTTCTATTATATATCTGAAAGTGGAATTGCTGGATCATATGAGAGTCCTATTTCTGATGTTTTGAGGAAATTCCATACTGTTTTCCAAAGTGGCTATATCATTTTACATTCCCACCAACAGTACACAAAGATTCTCCCTCCTTCACATCCTCACCAACACTTATTTCTTGTCTTTTTATTCTAACAGGTGTGATATGATACCTCATTGTGGTTTTGATTTGCATTTCTAGAAAGGGGTATTTAGAATTCCAGACAGCTGTTGTCACCTTTAGATTGAGGCAATCATCTATGAAGGAGCAGCTTTGTTCAGTGTGCTTGTTTTCCCAAGGCTGTACCATTGCATGTAGATATTGCTGACATACTTCCCTCTGGGGACCCAGTGACTCCAGTGGCCACTTTGACTGTTATACATGCAGTAGCACATCAATAGCCTGCTACCCTCTGCCTAAAGTACTCCCAGTAGTTGGCCTCCTCTACCTAAAGACCCATGACCTGACAACCTTCTCAAGGATCTGTTCTCCCCGCTGCACTTTGGCCCTCTGTGGCCAGCCTGGGTGCCCCATACCTGTGTCACGTTCCCCTCCCAGGGTACTTTCCAACAGTCATTATTGAATTAAAAGAAATAACTAAAATTGGTTTTATCTGCTGTTTTGATATCCGATAAAGGCTGTTAAAATCAGCTTAATGAGTACCTTTTCTATTTAAGGCAAGTATATTTTTCAGGTTCCCTTGACACTCATATTTTTTTCATTCTAGTGATGTTAAAACAATCTTTTATCTGAAAAGGATTATAAAAATTATATTCTATTTTTATTAGAGTACTTTAAAAGGTCTAAAAGAACTAAAAGCCTTCTAACAGTAGCCCATCTTTCTTCTCTCTTCTAACTCTCCCCAGATCCCCTCATTAGCAGCAATTCTTTTTGACACTTTTAAGGTTTCTTCTGGCATTTACACATTTCTATATTTCCAATTAATGCAATATTGCTCTCTTTTGATTCATCAATTTTAAACCTTGTCAGTGGATTTCCTCTTTATAGATGAAAGTTTAGTTCTGTTACACCACCATTCTCTTACCCTATGTCTTCAAATAATTTACGATAACCTTTACCAATGCAAAGAAAAAATCCATAATTTCTTATA